CCATACATTCAGTGCCTACACCGTTTTGTTTTGTTTTGTTCTGACCTGGGCCATTTTCTGTGCATCCTTTCCAGCTACATGAGAATTGCCTGATCTGAGCATTAACTTTGCTCTTTAAACTTTATTAAACTTTATTACTTTTCCCCATACCATCCAGTTCTTTTCTGCACATGAAATATGGAACCCATGGTGAGCCAGCCAGGAAGTGAAAAACAAAAGCAGGGAGATCATGGGTACTTTGTCTCAGGCAAACTTAGCCAAAAAGCCATTTTCTTTTTTCTGTATTCCCGTCTCATTAGTTATCAGGGAGGACGGAACTGGAAGGTGCTGGAGGGTAGAGAAGCCTAGGGTACCCAACCCATGTGTTGGGGGAGGGGAAGCACGTGGCCTCCATGGGTTCTCAGCTCAAAGGCCTGTCTTTCTTAGCTATCTACTACAACCTTTCAGGCTCCCAGGGCTGATTCTTGATCCCTTCCTGTAGTAAGTTCTTTCTGGAGCCTTTTGTTTCTCTAGTACTAGCTTTCTTCCTCTCTCCATCCTACTAGGTTCATTACAATTTTGGCCTTAAGTTTATTTTCCTAAAATGATACATAACCTGTGGTTGCTAAATGACTTTTCATTATAAAGCTTTAATTTTCCTTTTGTGGCATGAACTAGCAAAAATGCAGGGTGTTGGCAACAAAGAAGGGATTTAGGGAGGGGTGGATACTACAGAATCTCAAGCTTTAGTGTTTTTTTTTTTGGGGGGGTGGTCTTTTTGAGACAGGGTTTCAGGCTGGCCTCAAACTCATAGCACACCTCTAACTCAGCCTCCAGAGTGCTGTGATTACAGAGGTGTGCCACACCTGGGCTCAGAATCTCATTTTAAAACTTGGTCCTACCTGGGTTACTGCAGGAGTGGGGGTCAAAAAAATCCCACCTTTCTTAGGCTCACAGCAGCTCAGAAGACCTTCCAAGCTTCATCTTTTTTCTCTAGGGACATGTCCTAACAACATTTCTTAAGACTGCCACCTACTGATTCCTTACCCATTAAACTTTCCACAGTCCCTTTGCAAATAAGCTCCAACTGCCTTAACTTTCCCAGATAATGGTGTCATGGTTAAAGAGTGGTTGTCAAATGCACTCACGTCTGTTAGCCAGGGTTCCCAAGAGGCACCAATGCAAGAAAATTAACTGAGTTTCATGGAGGTTTCTCAACGGGGAAGCACTTACTACTCTTCCTTAGGCACTGTATACTATAACATCAAGTGATCTTATAACTGAATAGAGGCATCTAGCCAGTAGGGCATTCTAGCTCTGGATCCCCCTATCTGGGAAATAGGAGAAGATTCGAAAGTCCAAATGAGGTAGTGCTAGTGCCCACACAAAGCTAGAGACATCTAGCAACTAAATTTCAACGAGTTCAGCTTTTCCAGAGGTCACTGAGCAGACCACAAACTGACTCAGAGGATGTCCTGTAAGGTTCCCATAACCTAACCCCAACCAGTTTAGCTTTATTAGTATGCCCTGGGGCTGAACAGGTTAGAAATAGACCCAGGAAATGGTATGTAGGGCTCCCATGATCTAATCCTTATTCTTCCTGCCCACAAATGCATCATGGGACATGCCTCATCCATTTTACCTGACTCCCCAGAAGAGATGAAGAACACAGTCAGTGATGCCTGTGCCCAAGTCTTCATAGCTCTCTACCAAAAGCGGTGATCTCTTCCATGGAACTAATCTCTCAAGAGCTGACACTGATGAGGACTTCCTCTTGTCAGCATCCCCCCCCACCCCAACCTCTTTCAGGCTACCTCTATGCCACCCTGTAGTCAATGCCCCCAGCTGATAAAGATAACTTTCTGAGCCCCCATCACCACTATGTCTGGGTCTGCCTATCTTAAAGGGCCAGAAAGATGGAACTCAACATCTAAGTTTGTCAACATATTAATACTTTGGGAAGTGGTGGGTGTAGCATTCAAGTTCAGGTACCTTTTCAGTCAGGCATATTTAACAATGCAAAGAAACTAGGCAAGTTTTCTGAGGACCCTGAAAGTCTGCTGACAAACTCTATGCCCTAACAATAACTTCTGATCTAACTGAGAAAGATGTCTGGTTCATCCTGGTTTCCTACTACACAACATTGGAAACAGTAAAGATTGTGAGAGCTGCAAGACAGGCTAATGATGAGATCTCTGCAACTATCCCTGGTGATCAGCCAACTGACACTATTTGTACCCCAAAAAGGGCTCAGTGAGCCCCTACACTAGGGGTAGAGAAACCAAATGAAGGTTATACTTTCAGTTCATCTTAGTAGCGATGAGCCACGGCACACCCACGCCTGTGAATTATGATAAGCTCAGGATTATTAGGGCTCTGATGAAAATCCAGCTACTTTCTAGCACCAGCTTTAAGAAGTACACCATAAATACAACAATTTACACCTGGAGTCTAGAGAAGACCAAATTATCCTGGAATAGCATTTTATTAGCCAGTCTGTTCCAGATATTATGAACTCTAGAAACTTCAACAGAGCCCATAAACTGGGATAAGTCAATTGGTTGATGTAGACTAGTCTTTTTAACAACCATGATCAAGTAGAGGACAAACAGGAGCTCAATAAGGCAAAAAGTTATGCTACCTCTAATGGATAAGGCCCATGATAAAGCCCACAACACCAAGGGAAACTGAACTACTAATCCAAAGAGTGATGGAGGCAAGTCTGAGTGCTTCAAGTGTAAACAATCAGAGCACTGGACAAAAAAGTGCCCTAAAAAGCCACCATGTGTTTGCTAGGCCTGTCTGAACAAAGATGAAGACCCTTGGCATCAGAGGGGTACTACCCTTCTTCCTAGAAGGGGATTAAATCACCTGCCACTATGGTGGGGAAAAATGCCTGGACAGTGACTGATGATACCAGAGGCAGCCTGCAAGCAAGCAAATTACCTTTCTTTGCAATACAGGGGCACCTTAATTCTAATCTTCTATGGGAATGAATTATTGTCCCACTCCTCAGCTGTTGTGCGCCTTAAAGGAGTTAATTGGTCAGCTGGCTTTACGCCCACTCTGAACTGCTGGTTGGGAGATTTCTTTTTCTAAACTGCCTTCTTGATAATACCACAGAGCCCAATCCCTATAACTGAAAGAGATTTACTTTTCCTACTCAGGGCTACTCTGTCATTTAAACCTTGGGAATCTGTGCCCTAGCTGCCAGAGACTTGGCCAACCTGGCTCCACTGGCCAGATTCTTCTGCCAAGAGTTGATTCCTAAGCATGGTATGATGGCATTCCCAAAGGGTTGCCAAGGCCATTCCAGTAATCAATCAGCTGAGAATCCTAATCTGTACCCTTATAGAAGGCATTATTAGTGTAAAAGAGAAGTTAGGTGGGAGGTAAAGCTAATTATTGACAATTCTTTGGTTATAGGGCTGCTAGTGCCATGCCAGTTCCCATGTAATGCAATCATCTTACTAATAGTCAAGCCATCAGGAGATTGTAACCTGGTACAAGATCTCAGAATCATCAATGAGGCAGTGGTACCTAGTTACCCCTTAGTAGATCCATAAACCTTCCTTGCAGAAATCCCAGGACACACTAGTAATTGGTTCTCTGTCCTTGATTTTAAAAATGCCTCATTTTTCTATTCCTATGGTCCCTTTGCTATTGGTTAAATTCACCTGTTCAGAGTAAAAACCAAGCTGAGGCACCAGGAAACAACACAAACCTTGTTCACCTGCAAACCAGTGGGTGGCCTCAAGTTTCTTTTTGAAAACACCAACCAATCTGCTGATCCAGATTAAGTAACTTGTTTCGTTTCCTCTTAAGTAAAAAGGATAAGCAGCCACATTGTGAAGATAAGGTCCCTCTCCCTGAGTGTATTATGTAGCTAGTTTTGCTAATCTTTTGCTACCCACCACTCACACTTGAGGTCCATGCCCCAAGTTACAAAATGACCTCTTTTGACTTGCTTTTCTTGGGATCCTCTTGGTTCAAAAACTGTCTCTAATCTTTTTTTCCTCATTAAAATGAAAAAAAAAAAAAAAAAAAGTCTCTAGAAGAGATAATGGGCAGTCATTACTTACACAAAATCTTGAACAACTTAACAGCCTATCTGTGGTGAAACCTACAGTACATGTGCCCAGCCAGCTACCTGTATCACTGAAAGCTCTCAAATGTTTGCCATGATTGGCCTAGGTAAACTTGCCCAGAGTATTGAAAGTCAAGTAGATTCACTAGCAGCAGTGGCATATAAAAGAGCAGGGGACTAGATCTCTTAGCTGCTTTAAGGAGGGATGTATGTTTCTAAAAAAAGAATGTAATTCCCCTGTCAATCAGTCGTAAATAGTGAGATATACAACACATGAGCTAGGCAAACACATTTCTCAGATCCAACAGGAATAACTTAAAATGTTTATTGTGTCTGTACATTCACACACACATATTCTTTGTTCAACACTGGCATTTGAATGGCAAGGGAAGTTTTTATGCTCCTGCTGAGTTAGAACAATTTACCTACAGTAATATAAACTATCCCTTGGAAGCTTTGTACAATTAATCTATGATGTCATCAGGTCTGGAGCATTACTTGAGAACACATTTTTCACCTTTCCAATTCTACCATGCTTCCGTTTGTCTGCCTTTGAAGACAATTTCAGTCATTCTCTTTTGTTTCCCTATAGTTTCAATTTTTGATTTTTTTAAATCTTTCATGATAAAGTATGTGGCTATTTTATACATTCTTTGAAATAATTAGCTTTTCTTTTTTGTCCAGGCCCAAAATCTATTAGTTTTATTTTTTTCTTCATTATTTATGCCTTAAAGAGTATTTACAAACATGCACAAATACCATTTTAATTAAAAAAATAATTGTTTGAATATTTCCCTACCTCTTTGAGCAGATTCCTTAATTAAGAAGCAATAAAAATGAATGTATTGACTTTTCACTTGCGCGTTAGGAGGCTTTGGTCGGTGTGCCGTGCCATCTCCCCCCGCCCCGCGTCAGGTACCTGCCCGACTCAGCTGCTGCCATGGCATCAGATGAAGGCAAGCTTTTTTTTGGAGGGCTGAGTTTTGACACCAATGAGCAGTCGCTGGAGCAGGTCTTCTCCAAATATGGCCAGATTGCTGAAGTGGTGGTGGTGAAAGACAGGGAGACCCAGCGATCGAGGGGCTTTGGGTTTGTCACCTTTGAAAACGTTGACGATGCCAAGGATGCCATGATGGCTATGAATGGAAAGTCAGTGGACGGGTGACAGATCCGTGTTGACCAGGCTGGCAAGTCTTCCAACAACCGATCCTGAGGGTACCAAGGTGGCTCTGCTGGCGGTCGGGGTTTCTTCCGAGGGGGCTGAGGCCGGGGCCGTGGGTTCTCCAGAGGGGGAGGGGACCAAGGCTATGGTGGTGGCCGCTTTGAGTCCCGCAGTGGGGGCTATGGTGGCTCCAGAGACTACTACAGCAGCCGGAGTCGGGGTGGCGGCTACGGTGACCGGAGCTCAGGGGGGTTCTACAGAGACAGCTACGACAGCTATGCTACACAAAACGAGTAACAATCTTCCTGCTCAAGACCGTCCTTCTATGGCTGTATATTTAAAGATTTTGGGAGCTGCGCTGAATCGTTGATGTGTAGTGAACACACCTCCTTGTATTTCTACTTTTGTAGTCATTTCTGTTCCTATCTTGTCAACCCTGCCTGACTGCTTCTGACCCCCGAGATGGCCTCATCTTTTGCTTTTTAAGGAAGCGCCACTGTTAAGGTTTTGAAGGCGTTTTGAAAAGTATTTGAGTTTACTTATTTATTTATTTTTTAACCATGAACCATAGCTTTTTAAAAAATTATCAGGAGTTGTGTGATTTTTTTTTTTTTCTTTCCAACTTTGTGGTGCTGGGGATCAAACTGAGGGACTTGAATGTTAGGCCAACACCCTACCACTGAGTTGTGCCCCAGCTCTGTTAATGGATTTTTGGTTTTAGTTGTTGTTTTTACTGATTTTTTTTTTTTTGGGGGGGTCACCTATGAAATTGGGTGCCTCCATTCATTTCGTTAAGGTTGAATGGACCCTGGATCCGCTCTTTGCCAGAAGCTGAGCAAGCTGTGGCTTTTGGGACTCCGTGTGCCGTTTGAGGGTAGCCTGGTAGGACAGCAGCCTGGCACAGAGAGGCTGCCCTGTGCCAGCCGTGCAGCATGCATGCGGGACCGTGCAGAGGCGCTGAGGTTTTTGAAAACATTTATTTATATTGTCCTTTTTCTTTACCAGAAGATGTATGCATACTCCATCGATGTTGTATTTGCA